AAATTATTTATTACTATTAAAAATTAAAACTATTACAAAAATTATTTATTATTATTAAGACTATTTCAAAACTATTTATATTTATTATTACTAGTATTATTTGAGGAATTATTTATTATAAAAACATAAGAAAAGTAATTATGAATTATTCGAATTATTACAAAATTATTTGTTATTAAAAAAAATATAAAAAAACAATATTGTTGTCAAGGTAAAATATTATATGAATTTTTAAAAGTTTTGTCAGGAAAAATCTCTCGTTTCTTCTCTCATTACGCAGTTATTTTATATTTTTCCCTTTGTTTACCTTCATCTATCATTATACATAAACACGAGGATATCATCTTTCATCTTGAATAAAGAATGATATATGAAGTACAAAGATAATTCATCCAAATAGTAACATAGTCATCTTCTCTCATTCTTTGTAATAGTGGTTACCTTCATGTTACCTCAGACATTTCCTACTTCAAAGGGGAGCTCCCACGACCATGCCTCCATATTCATTATTTCTTCCATTATTTGCGAACCCATGTTTTCACATAGCTGTACAAATCTCTCAAACTCTAATTTGGGTAGTTTGTATATCCAGTCTGAGGTGATGCGACAAAAATTCCTGGTATGAGGGTTCCTACTTTCTGAAAAAGTATCCATACCCTTAACGATATCTGGTACATCCGTGGGCCGTTCTGTCAAAACTGTTCCTGTAGTTTTTGTTTCACCATCATGACTGTCTGTTTCATTTTGGCATTGTGTATATAGTTTCCAAGCCATTGGTATGCATTTAGCCTCTGTCCGTTCCCGTTGGCTGAGTTTACCGCTATTGACGCTAGTCCTTCTATGTCAAAGTTGGGTGTGGTTTCGGTAAGGTCTTTTATTTCTTCGAGGACGGTTATAGCATCCATCATGTAGGGTACCAGTGTATCATTTCCTGTGGACTCTTCGATCCTTGTTATGCTGTTTCCCACCACTAGATATACTCCGATTTGGTCTATGGTTAGTTGTGCTTTACCTAATATCAGCTGTAACTCTTCTCGTATCTTGCAGGCGTATTCATAGAGATTTTTGATAAATTGAAGGACATTCATGTAGAAGTTATGAATGGATTAAAGGATGATTTGTGGATTGCATTTTTTATGTTAATAGGAATTTCTAGCAATTTCCATTATGCATCCCTGTCATCTCACGTGCGATAAAGTTTCTTTGTTTATAGGACTTCAATCAATTTCCATGTATGGGGCAATTGTTGAATATCTCTACACTTATGGTTCATAGTACATATGACCCATTTCCCAAGACTCAGTGGATGAAGAAAGGTCTCATCTACTTATTTCAAAACTTGTCTCCATGGATATTCTGCAGGTTTGAGTAGTATTCTAGCACCATGTCACCCATTTTGTATGTCGTGGCCCTGATTCTTCTATCGTAAGCTTCCTTTTACCTTGCTAGGATATTTTTTATATTTCCAGTGGCCTTAATCTTGTCGTCAACAAATTTTTCCACAATCTTGCTGATTCTTCTGCAAACTAGGTCCTCGTACTGGTCTTCGTTGATCTCCGCAGCTGGCCAAGTGAAGATATCAGATTCTATAGTTAAGGTGAAACTTTGGCCGTAAAGCAGGTAGAAGGGTTTATGCTTCGTTGTCCTATTTCTGATTGTTCATTATGCAAAGAGTGCTGGAGGTATTAACACATCTCAGTCGTATTTTGTTTCTGATATATACTTGTCTAAAGTCTCGCATAGCATTTGGTTGAATTATTCCGTTAAGCTATTACTCTGTGGGTGATATGCGAACGCGAGTCTGTAATGTGCTCCCATTATATTCACCAAATTGGCTACTACTTGACTAATGAATACCGTTCCTCTGTCGAACAGTATTTCTCTTGGGCAACCGTTGTTACAGAATGAAAATATAATGATAAAATAATATTAAAAAAAAAAACACCTGCAGTAATTTATAATAACCTTTAAGATAATATTTAGAATTTAATATTAGTTCATGTAACAAATAGTAATAATTTAATAATTACTTTTAGCAAATATTTATAGCCTGTAGCACAC